TTTGATTACTGTCCCTGGTTCAGCCTTAGGTACCTATATATGTGGCTAAAATATATGCCTACATAACTTTGGGAAAGAAAGACTAAGTTTATTTAATGGAAACGTAAGATCTATTCATATGATTGTAGGAAGATTTTGCTATCAGTCTGGGAATGTACCAAACCCATGTACCGAATCTTGAAATTAACATGGATACTATAGCAGAGAATAGAGGACAATGTGCGTTTATCTAGGTATTTCTGACAATACGACAAATGCAAAATCTAAGTCAAACAATTTTTAAGAACTAAGGTATTCTTTGTGTCAAACTTCAATGCAATTCTTATATTATTATGAGAGGTAGTCTTTTGTATAGTTAATAAAAGCCCAAGTTATCAATGAGATATCTATAATTAGGCTTGAAATAAACAAAATAGCGTAGGTGACTACAGGAGCAGTGTTATACAATCGTGAGTCCTACGGATACCACTGTGGGAAAATTCAATTAAGTCCTTTATCACCTTAAGCTAACTATGATAAAAACAGCTTTTGTTCAAAATCTACTGTTAGCATAAACCTACTGTGACATCATCAGAGCAAAATTCCTTACTTTATGAAATACAGCATAAATATGCTATACGAAGAGAAGATGGCCGGCTGCAACCCTAGTCGCTTTTATACACTTAACATTGAGAACTTAATCAAGCCTCCTCTAATTTGGTTGGCTATTTGAGCCTTACCCTACATACTTGCATATTAGTGAAGCTAACTTCCCGAACCGGAAATGCGTTCGGTGGCAGCTGTTTCATCACACAGCTGAATCATGTTTGGGCTTGTGCTATTGTCTATTGTGTATGTAATGCTCATATCATGGGTAGTATGATAGTCCTAACAAGACTCGAGGCTAATCCAGCTTCGTTCTCTTTCTCAGTGGCTCCTGCATCCCCGCTCTCTCCCTTTCCCTTAATCTATCTAGCGACCACAAAAAGTTCCTACTTAGCTTTCTAGACTCGTTCCTCCTATTCAGGACGTAGGCTGTTTTGCTAATTTTTATAGACTCTCTAATCTTACGCTTTGACGTGAAGTCCCCGTAACCCGCAAAACGTTGTGTTTTGGATCAGTCTTTTAATTGTCCTGTATTGGCCATATGTTCAGTGAACTCAGATTTTTGGACCCAGAGACCTTTACAAGTGATTTTCTGTTCGCATAGTCTCTGTTGAATGAGTCGGCAGGTCTCATCCACAGATACCTTACCATATGAGCATAAAACCTTGTAACAGCCAGATAAAATATTCAGAAAATATTCTCTAAACGAAGGAACTACTGAAAGTGTTCATTTCTCTCTATACATTCTTTTTAGGCTCCATTTCTTCAGTAGTTCACCCAACTTTTTCGCAAGCTGACAGGAAGGAAAGATGAGGAACCGAGTAGAATTGTTCAGTTTCTATGCCGCAGCTGAGAGCAAACTCCCTA